GTACAAGGGCACATTGTTGAGACATATCCAGGTTCTCATACACTGTAATGCCCAGGCCCTCTTCTACAGAACTGCTGCTTAGCCAGTTGGTCCCCACCCGGAAGCAGTGCTTGGAATTCTTACATCCTAAGTGCACAGCTCTGCACTTCTTGTTGTTGAACCTCATCAGATTTCTTTTGGCCCAATCCTCTTAATTTGTCTACGTATGCCAACACAGATTTAGAGACCCATGGAATGTGAGGATTGTCATTGAACTTGTCAGGCAGAGGGAGTTTGGACTTGTGAAGAGCAGGGGTTGGAACTGAAAGCCTGCAAAGTCTATCTTCAAAGGCTGCATTCATCTCCATCCCAGAGGTATTGGCCTTTTGTAGGATCCATGCTAATCGTATCCGCTATAGTTCCCTTAATGTTTTTCCTTTCTCTTCAGTGGAAAAAAAAACCCCAATAGTCTAGTCCAAATGAAATAAATCCAGTTCTCTACAGCGGTTGTAAAAAAAAAAAAATCTGTTTTCCAACAAATCCACCACATATATGCCACAGTTATTTCCTGTTCCAAGTACAAGGAGAAAAGTGAGCAAATGCTGGCAATTTAATGGTGACTACTGGAATTAACTTAATTTTCTAAAACGTTTACAATTAAATAAGTGTTGTGCATGGGGCGGGGCACACTAAAAAACTAGCCAAAGTGAAATATTTCCTGTGTAAAAGCAATCAAAACATTATGTATGGAGTTCTTAAATATAAAGAGAAACACTGTTTTGGTTTGGCACTGGTGGTCTTCAGGACTTAAGCAGTGATATACAATCTGTAGTTATATTGACATTATGGAAACTGATACCATAGTTTTATAATACAGACTTTTGAAATCTAACTTTACAAACAAAAAGTGGTAATTGATAATTCAGTAAAATTCACAAAAGAAAGTTACAGCCAGCAACTACTTTCAAGTGATAAAGATGTTATGTTCTAAAATGCATGAAAAACAGACATAAGCACATTGTTTATAGATATTAAAGTAGCATAATGCACATTACAGCATAGATAATTGCATTGAGTGTACATCAGTTTCCCCTGTAGTTTTATTTGCATCGGTTATTCTCAGTTATCCTCCTGGTTGCCATGTTTCTTTTCAGAGCTGACTTCATTTCATTGATGGGTGAAGCAATACTTAGGTATACTGTACATTATGTAATATACTTTGTGGTCCTCTGAAATGAAAAAATACTGTATAAGATACTCTTGATGTGCTAATTCCAATATTTTACTTGTATAAAGGCTGAAGAGATAACTTTAACAATTGGTCAAGCATTTGACCTGGCTTACAGAAAATTTCTGGAATCTGGAGGAAAAGATGTTGAAACAAGAAAACAGATTGCAGGGTTACAGAAAAAAGTAAGTCATACATATTTGTTGCTTCTTTGGATGAAAATTATATATTACTGTAATTTTTTTACAAATTTCTGTGAAGTAAGCTGGACCATAAAGTGCAATACTATTATTACATTATCCTATATTAAGAGACTAAGGACACACTAAAAAAAGAGGGTAGTAACTGATAAAATAATATACAATGTGCATCTTTCCACCATCCTGCAAACTCACAGGATCTAAGACATTTATTACATTCTCAAATACAATGAAGCATTTGGGTCAGTTACTAAACAGCTTTTTGGTAATTAGTTTATATACTGTGAAGAAGAGCAGATCTTAAATAAAGAAATAAAAATGTTATTTGTGATATATAACTTAAATTAGATATGCCATAGGATGAGTCTCTCAATAATTGTTGCAATAACATTTGTTTTGTAGATTCAAGAACTAGAAACTGAAAATATAGAACTGAAAAATAAGGTGCAAGATTTGGAGAATCAGTTAAGAATAAATCAAATACATACATCTCCAGTAAGTACATGGATACAACTATGTTTTCTAGCTAAGATTGATATAACTTTAATTATTTTAACACCGTGTATGTGTTCTGATAACAAATACAGCATGCACACTATTTCTGATTATTAATATTAATCTCGATAATCTTATATTTAAGTAACAGTAAGATTGTGACAAACCAACAACAGTACAAAAATTAAGTTATTCAGTAAACTCCTTAACTCAGCTTCTTGTGCCCAGATGTTGCTGCATATATGCAAACAGTACTCATTTTTCTCAGACACACAAGCAGACTACCTAATTATGGAAAACAACATCCTCTTTCAGTGTGTCAATCTTGCGTTTCGTAACTTGGGTTTTCTTAACAACGTCTGTCACAAACATATCGTTACTTACATCTATTGTTTTGTCTATAACTTACTACTACTTGTTTTAACAGGATTTTTATGTTCTTCTGAAATTCCCTCATAGGCCAAGACCCATTATTATCTTTCATGCAAACAATACTTAAAAGATTGGTGTATTAGTTATAATTGTATGTGGACAAGGATCCTTTATCCATGCAAATATTTTTACTTCTTCAAAATCACCTGATGTACATTTTTACCGAATTCTGAAGTGTCAGATTTTGATATCTAGTTTGTGAACTATTAGAAATGTATGTTGTTTAGCAGACTGACCCTAATGGCTCTGAAGCAGTTATAGTTTATTTTATCCGAATGTATTCACATAGCTGTAAAAAAACAGTTGATGTGCATAGTATAAATCCTTGTGGAATGTATCTAGTTTTTAATTAAATATCTTTGGTGAAATGCTGGTAGTAGTGAAGTCATTGGGGACTGAATACATCCTCTGAAGTCTATATTTTTGGCCAAGCAGAAATATAATTTGCTAATTTTTAATTTTTAATTTTTAATTCAGAGTATTTTTTTGAATTACAGAAATAGCCAAACATTTTACAGTACATTTTTGTTAATTTTTACAATTGTTTAAATTAAAATTTGGGTCTACCATGTATTTGGAAAAAGTTTCAATTTTTTTCACCTTCTTCCTGGCCTGAAACACGACTATGCATGGCATCAGCCTTAATTGTTTACATGTTAATCCACAAAGCCCCCCACAATCTGTGTATTATGACAGTGATAAATTATCAGTATTATCCCAACACTGAAATGAAGTTCCGTGGAAGTCTGTCTACATAATGTCATGAAGGGTATTAATAACAAGTAACTGGAATGTATATGATAGTAAATTGTATGTATGAAAGTCTTTCTTTCATAGGTTCTTATATAGATTCCTCACTGAAAACTGTAAATTATTTGTGATTTCTGACTTACTGTACATTCAATCAAAAGTACTAACCCCTCAGACCAAATCCTCTGCCTTTATTCAGAAATTTTTCCTTAATAAAAACTGTAAGAATTGACCTGTCATTGGTAGACCAAAATCATTCAATCTGTCTAATACCAAAGCTTGCTTTTATAGTAACCCTGTGATAGGTACAAGAATAGCAAAATACAGTCTGTTCCTCTTCAGCTTTTTGGTCCAGGAGCCATGTGTTCATTATCTGTGTATCCAGTGTTTATCACAACAGGGCCTCTTGATGCTAAAACAATACAAATAACATGTGGGATTGTAAATTGCAATTGTAGAATGGCCAAATTATGTGCTTTGCTGATTGGTTATTATTATCATTGGCATTGTGATGGCAACGTGTATGTGCTTTCTGTGTATTATTTCAATGTGACTTCTGGCATACGGTTCTGAGAACAGAATTTAACCTTTAGGACAACTGTTATGTTGTGTGGTGGAATTCCTGTGAGGAAATCTGCACTACAATCTTAAAAGTACTAATTTAAAACAATTTAACATTGTTTTCTTGCTAGTGAATATAAGATATATGATGTTAATCATGTTTATATTTCATACTCATAAATTACAAGAATAACACATTTCATTCTTATATTTTCAAAAAAATATTTCCAAAATATTGAATTTACAATATAAGAATATTTCTGTTTGTTATTTCTTTAGAACAAATGTTTAAAAAGCAAGAATTACCGTACAGAAATTCTGTGCATTCTAATAATTAGAATTACAGTAAGAACTATTGAGCATCATAAATATTAATATATACATTAATTTTTCCAGCCGACACTCTTTTATAATCAAATAGAGGTAACAATGAATCTGCAGCTAATCAGAAGTAAAAAAGAAATACACCCAGAAAAACCTCTCATTCTCATATCTTACCCCATAACATACCTTTATCCTTCTCCTAAAGCCCTGTTAAACAAACAACTTTTGCAGCATGCTCAAACGGTCATTTGACTAGGCCAAAGTTGCTTGTACTACTTCTCTAATAAAAGGAGCAGGTACATTGAAGAGATAGTTATGGAATGAGAAAACATTGTGAAATATAATAGACAATTAATGTTTTACATAAACTGTCATTTATATAAATTTCAGTTATAGAAAATATCTGTAAAGATAGTGTGATCCCAGGGTCTGCCAAACCTCCATTCACGTTGTCCCAGATGCACACTGGATTCAGTGCATGTGTTTAATAAGGCTGAACATGTATTAAATTATCTGGGAACACCCAGCAATAAATTATACAGCACTTGTCAGCATTCTTTCTTTAATCATTTCCACCTATTAGGGAGGGCTTCCTCTTCTGAATCTGCTCTCATCCCATTTCTGAGACCTCTGCACTCTCCATCATGAGGTTTAAGAGGGTCTGGAAAAAGGGGGCTGTCTCCCCACTGTGCTAGACATTGAGTCCCAACTCCCTTTTCCAGCCTCCTTAGGAATGAGTACCTACACTGAACTCCTGCATAATTTGCGACATGTTAAACTAAATTCCTTAGCTCACTCAATAGGTCTGTGAACTGGTGCCAGGCAGGTGAAATAATCTTCCACTGCTATGCCAGTAGGATGATGAGGGAAAAATTCCTTCCCAGCTGCAAAAGAAAAAAAGGCAACAGACAGTGTTCACAGTAGATTATAACGTAATTGGTCCTATTCTGATCTCATGGGTGGGAGAGAGGGGGCCACTGGTTCATGAAGAGAGTGGGTTGAATCTGGGTGACACAGATATCAATATCCTTCCCCTCAGCTAGCATGGCTGGTGGTTCAGTGTCTCCACCTGAACTAGTCACTTCTGGTTCCCCCTTGGCTCAACGAGCTATAGTTTCATTTCTTCTTGCTTGCTAGATAAAGTCTCACAGCATTCAGTTGTGATGAGTGCATAAGAAGAGGAACTAAGAAAATTGCATGCTGTAGACTGATATGTATTTAAGGCTAAATTATGCTTAGTCAAACAAGGATATCAAAATTAATATGTTTTACAAAAGCAACAGTAGAATGAATGTACCTTTTCTTATATTCTCTAAATATTCCCGGGAAGAAAAGTGATGTTACTAAAAATAGTAATAAAATGTAATTGTAGGATTTTGCTAAACTTACTTTAATGCACTTTTTTCACAAGAAACATTTTTAGATTCAGAGACCTAATCAATGGGAAATCTTCCTTTTTACTTTTGTTTTTGTTTTTGTTTTTGTTTTTAATGTATGATATTTCTTGTGTTACTTGTTAATTGGCAGAGACATTTTTCCAATTTGATGAAAATTTAACTTTCTGGGCAAAATATTTTTAGAACCTTTCTCAAACAACGGTTGCTGCTCAATAGCCAGCTAACTCGCTTCCAAAGTCAGTGTAAAACGCAGCTTCTTTTTGTTAATTCTGCCCATTCCCTATTGAGATTTTTGCAGTGAACTTCATAAGGACATAGTCTTATGAGAAGGCACCACAGAAGAATTAGTATATTTAGTCAGAAAAATGTAAATCTAGTTTTGTTTATTCACATTTAAGCTAGAAGCTGGATTACTGTGTTTTCTATGCTATAAATAAAGTATGGTAGACAATATGTTCTTGATTCATATTATTAGGCATTTCCTAGTATGACTCAATAACACAAAGAGTTTGTTCAGAGGTACTGATTTTCATAGAAATTTACCGTGTGCATCGCAACTATTCCTCTGGTGTCATAATGTGAAATTATATTTAAATTTTAAAGTATAAATTAAATTGAATCCATTAAGAATGTGCAAGAAATATCGTTAAGAAAAGCCCTACATCAATACTTCAAACATCAGATTGTCAACTGTTTCATTTAAAAAAAGGAAGAAACTAGCAAGCATGGTGTACTAGTGCTCTCTCTGATAATATTTTTAATACAGATGCCTGTATTACTACATGACTTTTAAGTGGGCATACAAATTTATGGTGCGTGTTTCTTTCTTATTTTTTGAAGTATTTTAAAAAATCTTTTAAAAAGATGCCAGTATTGTACTAGGTTTCAAATAATTAGCTCTATTCGTATTTTACATCATTTAAATCATTTAGTTATACATATATATTCATAATATAGTATATATACATTTTATCCTGTTATGATTTTGTACAGGGATCTCCCATTTAAGTTGGAGGTTTTTTACGTATTAAAGGATGATAGAATTGAGATCAAATGCTCCATCTGCCGTTGTGTAGTGCTTTAATGCCACATGTGCTATTATTGGATTGAGTCTAGCCTCAAAGTGTCAGGAGCAGAGCTTTGCTCTCCTTCTTGGTCAGCCCGCAACTGAGCTTGGTCTCCTCATTTTTAGGCCCTCTTGCCACATCTGAAACTGGCTGCAGGTGCTGGCATTGTCCCATCCAAACTTATTTATTATCCATAACTACAAACTATTAAATTAACAAAACTTTAACAAAAATATCCTTTAACAATTCTGCATCTTTATATTCAATATCATAGATCAATATGTATCCACGTGCCTATTTTTATTTGATCAGGGAATTACGGAAAACATTATGTCCTTTTTATATCAACAATTCTTATCTTCTTTAAACATGGTTTTCAGAGGCCTTTTACTCCAAGTCTAACATTGTTTGTAAATCATTACCAAAAATAAAATCCAGTTAGTAATTTTCCCTGTGTTGCATTTTGAGA